ACTTTAAACTGAAGCATGCTGGTACTACAGCATAGTGTGTTAAGATTGATTGTTTCACTATCAAAGCTGAAGATCAAAAGAGCCCAAGTGAGTGGCTTCTATCAATAAGATTGGAGGCTGAAGAGTGAGCAAGTATGTGGATATTAAATTGCCTAATGAATTTCACCAAGTTGTAGAATATCAAACCGTAGAAATTTCAACATCTAAAGATAGATACACCCAAACTGATCAGTATGATACTGATACTGATGATATTGTGAGTGGCATTGAGAAAGTGAACCAAACAATGATTAGGAAATGACTTGCAGGAGCAAGCAAAAGTCATACCTGCCAGAAATTGATAATGGTTGCGCAAGATTTTTTGTATGGCCTACTAATAGGTTATCGCATTACTTTGAAGTTGATACCAAAAAGATCAATAACATTTTTTTTTGGTCAAAGTTTAGCTTAGCTGCTTCACTACTCTTAGCATTAATTCTTTTCTTTTTGAAGCTGGAACATGTGATGCAAGACCAGCTGTTTCACTACAGACTTCATATCCTTTGTGTAACAGGCCCAAATATAGTAAAGACATACAAAGCACTGAAAAACACGGGCCCTCACAGCGTTCCTCTTTCAAACTTAAATCGCATCGGAATTTTGCAGTGTTGATGATCTATATTCTATTTTGGGTAATGATCTGACCGATAATACCGCTAAGCAGGTCAACAAGCTTGATTCCCTGCTGCTCACAGCTGTCAAGGATATTTTTGAAGATTCTGACAACAGACGCACGTTTTGCTGTTAATCTATCAATGCCTCGCTGGCCTTAACGCGCTTAACTCGAAACTTAAAATTGAAAAAGAGAAAGTCGCAGCAGACTCCCATCAGTTTAATATGCTGGATGCACAAATCTGTCCTTGGTAAGTGGCAAGTTGCAACGCCTGGATGGACATTCCATTGTGAACTCACAGAAGTAATAGCGCAAGCCTGTCCCTGTGAGGCAACGATTCCTTCAAGGTTTGGTAGATGTTTCAATCTTTTCGATGGCGGTCCCCGGATGAAGCGGTTATCTTGGGGGATTTTTTTGCATGTCGTGGTATGAGCTGGCTTTTTATTTGCCATATTCACAGATCATTTCTTGCCTATTTGGATCTCCTCAAAGGCATACAATTGCCACAACCGTATGCCTTTGACTTTGGTCGGTGGAATTTCGGCGCGGCCGTGTCCCTCCCGAATGCATTACTGCTTGTTGAAAATTTAACGGCCTATTCTTCCTCACCCAACCAATCTTATCCGCTCAATGTTCGTGTGGTTCCGACCTTAATTGCCGCAGATGACGTCTGTAATGAACGGCCTTACCAAGATATCTCGCATTCCAAAGGTCATAATCTTTACCAAAAAGTTAATATAAATGCATACGTCTCGAACAATCGCTCGATGCAATTGAAGTTACAAATCAACCGCTTTTTCGTTCGTGGCAGCCTTAATTCGTTTATCTCTCTTTCCTCACTGTGTCTTACACCGGTGATGGATATGTAGTGGTTGCACATTTTGTTGATATTATGTGTTGTCGTACATACCTACTCTCTAGCGCCCCACTATGTGGAAGGGCATGAGAAGGGAACGTCGGACCGATCGCGAGTTGGTGTGGTTGGGGTGAAGAAGTTTTTGAAGTGTTCGGGCGTGGACCGTGACAGCCTTGGGAGTAGCCCACAATTGGAGAGTTTCAAAGCTATTGCGCTTTTCCAATTGCTCCGCCATTGCACGGCAGACTGCCGCCTTCATCGCCATCAGCCTGAACTCAGCGCATCTCATCGGCGAATCTGGCAGCCGATGGACCTCGACTTGTGGCTTGGCGACATGAGCGATCTTCCACTCATTCTGCGCGAACGATGACGAGTTCACCCAGACGCCCCGTATTTTCCCATTGGTGGGCTCTTCCACCTGCAGCTCAACTTCACCTTCACTGATTTTGTGAATGATGCCCACTTGGTCATACCTTTCTACTTTCTGACCAACGGCAAAACCAAGCCCCTTGATCACTTCTACGGCGTTGGTCACGCGCCCTGAGTCATCATAGGCTCTAAAAACATCAGCTTTATTCTTCGCTGCCTTGCCATCGGTCGCGGTTGTGTCAACCTTCGCGACCCATTCGCTTGGGATGGTGATCCCCAGCCCCAACTCCACCAACACCTCACGGCACGCGTCCTCCATCTTCACATGAGCCCTGCTCTTCTTGTCCAAAATGACAACCGCGAGATGCACCTCCAGGTGGCCCACTGTCGTCGCAGTCGACCCACAGCCAGGAGAGACTCCTATCAGCTGTCGACCGACTGACAAAAGCTGCGGCTGCCGATTGGCCGTTGATCGACTGATCGAAGCAATGGTATATATATAGTTTCAGAAACTGTGCGGACCTGGTCTTCAGCGAAGTGGGGGCAAAGTGCATCTCTTCGCAAATCGAATTGCGAAGAGATGCGTGCGAAGAGATGCGCGTGACCCCACTGATCGAAGTACTGAACTGTCAGAAGCAATGCCGCAGTGTGACCAGCCAAGAGCGAGGAGACCTGACATTGTCAAGTATCCTCGTCAAGTGTCATGTCAGTAGACCTTGAAGAACGGCTGACAACCTTATTTCTTGAAGGTCTACTGACGCATGTCTGTTCTTGTGGAGGCTGCGCCAGTCCACCTGGAAGAAAGGTCACCTTTCTTGCAGGTCGACTGACAGCGTGAACAAGATCCACGGTGCTTTTCGGCAACTCCAGATTACAGATCTATCCAGAGCGCAGATGCTTTTGCACTCTGGGTGGATCTGGAAGAGGAAGGCCTTCAACGAAGTGGGATCCAGCGGACCAGTTTGTTACAACGAGCTTCAATCCTCTGATGTTTCAACCCTCTGATGCTACCATGACTCCTCTCAGTTGAGCTACTCCTTACCATGGCCTGGACAGTCTTACACGAGATCAGGATCGAAGTGATGTTGAAGCCGAGCAGCAGTAGCGACACAGACCGTGCCAAATGCATGACAGCGCATTGCGTATAGTGTATGTGTATGCTACGCACATGACATAATTGACACTTGTTCACGATGGGAAGTTCATGCTGGGCATTCTGCTCGCATGTCGTCCCTAACTTCCAGACCACGTCCAGAAAACCCTAAAAAGCTAAGAGTATTGACGCGCATGTGGAAGGAACCTGGCGCACTACTTATAGCGCATTGGACATGCAGTGAAACGCACGTGAGGTATACATCATATTTTTGTAGCATCCACGCAAGTTGCATCCGTCGGTGAGATTGGGCGTTCTGGGAAACAATACCCGAATTTCAGCAACATGCGTCTCCAGCGAAGGTGGTCCTTGAAACCCTGGAGCTCGAAACTCAACGCCGCCCACACAGCGTCCCCGAGTTCTCGGGCAGTTCGCCCGAAGATTCTCACATAGGACTCTACCTGCTGCAGCCTGTAGTCTCCAAATTGTAAAATGAAGGCAAAGATCGAGGCGCCACTTGCACCGCACTTCGGGCGACTCTTCAAAACCGATTCGGCCACGTCCGGCCACGTCACCGTCTCACCAAGCGTTTTCTTGCTCTGGAGAATGGCCTTGACCTTTTGCAGCAACTGCCACTCATCTTCTTGCTTTGCGATGGATTGCGCGGCGTTCCCTGCCTCGCATATGGCCGTGATGAGCAAAGGGAACTCTGCATTCACAATGCGTTTGATGACCAGCCACGTATCAGCGACGGCAGCTCTCCATTCAGCCATTCAGCAGGGACCTCCAAACTGAGACCTTCATGCACTCCATAGTGCAAGCATCGGTTTGCCATGTTCAGATGGGAGCCACAAATGCTGGCAAACCTGAGGGTGTCTGTCACGGCTGGGAGCTTCCGTATCGACTCCAGGCTCAATCTTTCATTGAAGGACCTGCCATCGAGATGAGTCGTGTGCTTTTCCAGCCACGAAATGCTACAAACATATTTGGCGGATCAACTCATCAAAAAACACACTTGTTTCGCCGTGCCTCGTCGCATCGCAGTCAGGCGACGAGTCCAGCTCCAGGCAGACCCTTGCACTTATGCCCTGCTCTACATAGCCCATCTGGCAAATGGTTTGCGTTAAGTTAAGTCGTGCATATGCGCAGGTCCACGCCCATGCCCTGTTCGACCGGTGCACACCTATGTGGGCGCACTTGATGTTTAGCTGGAAGGCCAAACCCTCTTTTTCCAAGTAGTGCAGGCAACCTGCAGTTGCACTGGCCATCCCTCCCTCCGCTATTCGCCGTCCCCACATACCGACGCAGCTCAGCGCGCTGCGCGTCGTTCATGGCAGCAAATTGCAGGGACAAGCGTTATATATATATCCAACAAAAAGTGGAAGTATGTGGAAAGTTGAAGTGCTCGATTCTGACTGCGTTGCACAATGCGAACAGTTTAAGATCGATTGATTCTGTCGACCTTCTAATTTTTAGAGCGTGTGTCAAACCTTCTAATTTGCCAGGAGCAGCTCCTTCCGGCATTTCGAATGTTGAATCGTCATGGAACTACCACCATGGGTTTGAATCGTCGTGGAACTACCGCCATGCGTTTCAATCCTCTAGTGTTGCTCGGAGCGACTCCAACTAGCAGACAGGTCGAGGATTGAAACAAACATCTACAATAACATATGCGACATGGGTTGAACAGTCATTTGCGCTTGATGCTTCAATACGAGCCGGATCCAAAGCTATATACAGTTGCCACACCAAGACGCGACAGCGTGCACCAGTGCACAGCCACCGCGTGACCATGCGTTGTACCAACAGGAACAGTAGCGAGGCGGCAATGCCGCATGCCGGTACTTCTAAGGTCCGGCCCTAGGCAGGTCAGCAATATTACAACGCCAGAACTGAATTTAACCACCGGGACAGGTCGTTAAGAGAATTCTTGTTCCTGCTTGCAGGTTCTCAGGATCAAAGGTTTCTTTCGTTCCGTGCTGCGTAGAGCTGCGTAGAGCTTTGTTGCTCGAGACTCCCTCTCTTTTGAGGAAGTGATGCTGGACGAAGAAGCTGACCAATGCATTGAGAAGTCTTTTGTTCGCGTATGGCACTTGCTGCGTAGAAATTCTCTAGCGCGGAATTGCGTTGCAAACCTCCTCCACAAGCTGCGCTGTTTTCAAGGCTGGAACAGATTGTTCAAAACTATCAGCTGCCTGGGCAGCATGTGGCGCACCAGAGGGTCTGACGCCCAGTTTGTGCTCTTTTTTACAATAAAGTTGTTGGAATAGTTCTACAATGTTCTTCGCAAACCTTTGCTGAACGTCCGTGGCACCTCCATGTGACCAACTGCGGGCCGTTTGCAATAGATTTTTTGAGGCCTTGGCCCTGGAGTTGGAGAGATTACGGAAAATTTCGGAAAACATTCTTCACACTTTGGAGAACGGGCAGAATGGGAAAAATGGGTCCAGCCCTCAGCACGCTGGAAGTGTTCTTCAGTCCCACAAAGTCAAACCGTGGTTCTGAGGAACAGTGCCAAGGCCTGAGATGGACCGATGACCATCGCTGAGCGCCAGCCAAACTCTTTAAGTAGCGCCAGCCCCTCCCGGGCTGGCGTAGAAGGTCGGTCGGAGTTGTGCCTCAAGGGAGGATGAAAGTTGACGATTTTCAAGAGCACGTCATTGTGCATAGTGTTTCTGACCTAGATTGAAAACCGATCAGGCAGGACAGGCAGCGACGCTAGCTTGCCCTCTCTCGATGCGGGGAAGGCCAAACAATGCGTGGATTGGATATGATTCAATCATTTAGAGTTTTCCCCAAACAGTGCGCTCACACTAGGGGTTCTTACGGTAAGGGTTAAGGGCCGGTGTCTAATCAAGGCGTCGCGCGTTCGTGTCTGGCTAGCTATTTACAATACATTCACGCCTCGCGAAATCCTCGAAAACTGCGCAGGCTCGCAAAATCTGGTTGGGCGGCAGGTGCCTGTCGCGACAGCGCTCTCATGATGCGGCCCGCATTTTCGGACACGGTGGTCACTTTTCGTGGCAGCAGCGCTTTCATGGTGGTGATCTTCGGCGCGTTCTACTTTCATGACACGCGCAGTGAATCGTCACTTTTGGACACGCGGCTTGTTTTCAGATACCGGGGGAAGTCTCGCGCGAAAGCTGCGCTTTGGGATCTGGGTGTTGTCTTTGGAAGCGTTCTTGCAGCGAAACACCTTGGCAGGGCTGCGGCGTGTGAATCTTGAAGTGCAGATTTCGTGGCAGGCGCAGCATTTTGTGAACCTCAAAGTGCAGATTTTGTGGCAGGCGCAGTACTTTGTGAACCTCAAAGTGTTTGTGCACAAACTGGGGCTGAACACGTGATGCAACAGTGCAAGCGACCGCATTTTTTGAATGAGATTGCGAGGCTGGAGTCATACCGATGAGTTTTCCAAGGTACTAGATCGGTGACCTTTGACGGAACGGCTGCGCAATAGCTCACAAACGCGTGAAATCACAAAAGGATCATCCGTGGGTCAGCACCTTCGGCCAGAAGAAGCTTGTGATCCCACGCGTCACCCCGCGCGTACTGTTCATAGAAGCCACGAAGGTGATGGATGACCAATTGGTGATCGGCATTTTTGACCATATGGCAGTGGCGCTCACCGGATTGAACAAAGTAGGCAAGCTTCCTGGTGAGGGATTCCAATGTCCCTTTTGGTTCATTCCCCGCACTTCCGAATCGGATAATGTGAACGTGGAGGCGAGCAGGCTTGAAGTCGTGAACCTTCGATCTGGAAATTACGCATATGTGGCATAGGTATACATTGTATAGTAATAGTTATAAACAAAACACAAACAAACGATATCACTATTGCTAGAGTGATTTACGTTTATGTTCAACACATTCCCATATACTCTTGAGCCAAGAAATGCGATGGAACCACGAGGTATGCATATAGACCGCGTGAACCTATAGTCCAATTACAAACCCAACAGGTCTGGCCGAGCGCCGATGGCATGAAGAAGCGGACGTTGGCTTTGGACAAGCCAATCATGTTGCCACAGCTCCGCAACATGACGCCATTGAAGAAGGGCGATGAGCTCTTTGTCTACCTGACCAAAAAGAACCTGACTGCAGATGCGGAACCACTTAGAGATCGACTCGCGAAAAGAATTCGCGCTTAGGTCAAAGACACAACACTGAGGGGGGCGCCGTACAGGGGACGCATCGTACAGCTCAGACACGTTCAGACATGTTTACGTTTATCTTGCCTTTCTGTTTCATTGCTCGACGCTGCCACTGGAAGTTGCTCCCGACACCTGAAAGGAATGAAACCCTGGTGGTGGTAGTCCCAGGCGCCCCTCCGTGTGAAATTCTCAGTACGATCCGTGGCCCAGCCACGCACTTTGAAGCTGACTACAGGGTAGTGCCAGCTCGAGACAACATGAGCCTGGACTATAGAGACCACACGCGTCACACTTTTTTTTATTGTGTATCTTTGCAACCTTCACAATGCTCCTGGCAAGGAGAACATGGATATATACAGTACATAAGGGCTGGCGTGATGAACTGCAGGAGAGCACCGCACGACAAAAACAAAGTGTACTGGGCACGTCCAACAACGTGGCTTCAACAGGTTTCCAGTTTGCAACTCGTTCTTTTGCTTGTTCCAGCCGTTGCCTTGTGTGTCTATATATATAGGGGTCACTCCATGGCCACTGGCTGCAGTAGCCGTTTGTAGCCTTGCGTGCCTGTGGGAGTCACTCCTGGCCACTGGCTGCAGTAGCCGTTTGTAGCCTCGCGTGCCTATGGGAGTCACTCCTGGCCACTGGCTGCAGTGTCATGGATGACGCCAGGGATGACGATGATGAAGGACCAGTGCAGCAGCTGTCCATCGACCGTGTGACCCGAGCTTGGGTAAGCTCAGGTGGTTTCCAGAAACCCGTGAGTTTGAGGGCAAAACCCTATGCCAGCCTTTCGCGGTTTGATCCCCAATTGGTCAAGGTCATCACTGGCAATGGCGTGAACAGACATGCCAAAAGAGTCGCATGGGGATTGGATGTCCAATGGTGGGCGGCCACCAGACAAGTGAGGCCTTCATTGTTTGTTTCAGCACTCTTTTCACCCATCTTTGAAAGGATGTTGTAACATGTAATGTTTTGACACCAACTTATGGAACACACATAGTTTGGAATAGTTTGGAAACCTACTTGCACGTTAGGGCATGATGCCTGCACAGCCCTCTTGCGCAAGCGTATACTCTCCGGCGTGCAGGAAGGGGAGCCCCAACCAAAGCTTCGGCCAGCCAGGGAAGGTGACAAGTTCATCGTCAGCCGAGATGTTGTAGTGGTTCTGCCGGAGTTTGAGCGCGACGGCGAAGTCTTTGGGCCGCTGGAGTGCAGGATGCTTTGGAGTGTAAAAGCCAAAGAGGTGCATGTCGAGCTGACAGAGGCGAACCTCCGGTATGTTTTCGCGGCGGGTCTGCCAGCATGAGGATCTGAGCCTGCCGGGTCCAGGCAGGCAGTTAGGTCACTCGTGACGTCCCTGGCGCACTGGCCCACATTGTGTACCTGGCCGCTTCGACCATCGATCTGCGAGTTGTGGACCCGGGCCTGCTGGGCAAGCAACAAAGGAAGCATCTGTTGAGCCTGCTGGATGAGGTCCGAAAGACCCAGGATGGGCTGCGCGCTTCCAAGATTTGAAGATTTGGTTGACTTGGTGTTGCTGCTGTAACATGCTTCAATAATTGTGTTGATGCCAAGCATTTCACCAACCTATAGACTTGAGATGTGTGAGAAACCAGATGTTTATGGCAAATCATTCAAAACCGGATCTTTAAGTGCTTGGCACGGAGGGGACGCCGTACAGGGGACGCATCGTACAGCTCAGACATGTTCAGACATGTTTACGTTTATCTTGCCTTTCTGTTTCATTCCTCGACGCTGCCAGTGGGAGTTGCTCCCGACACCTGAAAGGAATGAAACCTTGATGGTTTTAGTCCCATGTGCCCCTCCGTGTGAAATTCTTTGAAGCTGAATGCAGGGTAGTGCCAGCTCGAAACAACGTGAACCTAGATTCGAGACCACGTGCGTCACAACTGTCTTGTTGTGTTTCATTTCAACTGTCTTGTTGTGTTTCTGAGCATGGATATGCAGTATGAGGGCTGGCGTGAGGAACTGCAGGAGAGCACCAAAAAAACACTGTGTATTGGTTTGATTTGCGCAGGGTATAGGAAGATATACTGTTAAAGGTCAATGACCATTTGTTTCACACGCTTCTGCGACATTGTTTCATTGTGTGCGTCCAGTTCCTTTGAAGACATTGTGTGCTGCAGGCCATACCTTGGAAGAGCTTGAGGCGCAACCCAGCCGCTTGAGACGTGTGAGATGACCATGTTTACGACTATGTTGAATGGGAAAGCTGAAAATCTAGGTTCTGAGCGCTATCTATTTGATTTTTGTTGCAGAAAAAACTCATTGGTTGGCAACTGCTGAAACAATTCTAAATGAAAATCGGTGCAATGGTACTGTATTTTTCAACTGAGTTCCAGTGAATGTTAGCAAACCAATTGATCTTCATTGGCAATGTCAAAGGCCTTGAAAAAATGGGCAGCGTTCTCCCCTATTGGTTGATTATTTGGTGTGTTTTCCAGAGGCAATATCGTTTTGCGTTTTTGTGGATCCACCAAAAATCAACTTCACTTTTTGTGGACCCACAAAATGTCAACTTCACTTTTTGTGGATCCACATTTTTAAAATTTAGCTATCAAGTTTTTTTGTGGATCCACATTTCTGAATTTTAGTTTTTGTGGACGCGCAATTTTGTGATTGTGTTTTTTGTGGAATCACAATTTTAGACATATTGAGTTTTGAGTTTGGCTTCACTGATTGAGATTCGTTCCTTTGTGCGCGAGGCTCTTTTTGTCATGGTTGGCTACTTCTCTGAGAAGGCGTGACTGGATTGAAGAGTTGCTTTGCAATTGAAGATTGTCATGGCTTCATCAACGATTGTCGTGATTGCCATGAGTCGTGGCGCAGGTTGCATTCATTGTGAAATGTTTTTAGGTTGAGTCTTTGAAGGTATTGTATGTTCTTGTTCGGCGCAGAGTTCAGGCGCTATGGTTTGCTGGGAATACTTTGGACTATTGAAAGAACAAAACTCCAATGTAACCTACATTCCACACTCTCAACACTTGGGTCGAGTCACCTGACATTTGTGGACGCATAAAAACGTTGCGCGTACCACATCACATTGAATTGTTGAGTGTTGTTTTGAAATGTTTTGGTTGGTTTGTTTGTTTGTGTGTTTCCTACACACTCGAATGTTGTTTTTGGCGACAGTCTCGCCGCTAGTTTGTTGAAGGTATAGTATGTTCTTGCTCGGCGCGGAGGTCAGGCGGAATGGATTGTTGGGAATGGTCTGTCAACTGGCTGTGCGCCAGAACTGCGAACTGCTTGGTTATGACATACTTTGGAATGTTGAACGAACAACCAAATAGAACTCCAATGCAACTTACAGTGAGGGTTGCCAGGAGTGACTCCTATATCGGCTCATGTCTCACGCCAGGAGTGACTCCTGTCGGCGCATGTGGACCGCCGTGGCGAGAAGGAAGGGCTTGCAGACCACCTCACATGCAAGTACTTTTTGCAATGTGTTTGTTTCGTAAGCATGTAAAGTACTTTTGATTGAAGTGCTTTTTTTTTTCTGTTTTGTTGTGTGGCAGTCATGTCGGCCTATAGTCAAACGCAGTCTTCACCTCTGCTGCCGGCGAGCTCACAGGCCCAGCCAGCCCACAGCCTTTGAACA